TCGATTGCCAGCCGCCGAACTAGCGGGTAAGTGTAGCCAAGGCCTTAGTGACTCCCAATCAGTATCTGGAATGATAAAAATTTAACTCTAAAACTCTGCAATCTCAGCAGACGTGTTCTATATTAGTTCATTGAGCTATCTCACTCAGTGTAAAAACCAGTTTTTAGACATCCCATGGGGAACGAGGGTTGTGTTATTTGGTGAAACAACTGCACTCTGCCATCCTTATATGATTTTAGTTTGGAGAAAGCAGTCTTTTAGGAATAATTCTGATCTGCTTCTACTTTTTTGATCGTTTATTCCAAACAAGAAGCAGCATCCAACGGTGGTGTTCCTATTGCTAACCATATGCTCAACAAAGCTCTGTCCGACTCTGGCCAAGCCACAGGAACTTGTGTTACTTATATGAGATGAAACACCCGGCTCTGTTCATAAATGCACAAAGCAGAGTCAGCAACTGAAGATGCTGAGGAGGCTGCTATAGAACTGCCAAGGTAGACAATTTGAAAATGGATATGACAATCAAAAACCAACAAGAACAAGAAATAAACCTCCCAAACCAGCTCAGCTATATCTGCTATTAAATTGGCCTAGCCCATACACTGCAAACATGTGTCTCAAGAACAAACACCTAGTGAGTTTTATTTGTCACAAGAAAACAATTACAGGGCTTGTTTATTTTCGGTTATAGACAAGAATTGTAGTTGCACAGAGGGCCTGGATTCAGATCACATGGACTCTATTTCAATCTGTTAGTAACTTACTGTGGATCCTTGGACTTAGGTAAACTGAGGTAAGGAGGCTATCTGTAAAATGGTATGCTGGCAACTCCCAGGAATGGTGCCAGAGGCTTAATTGATTCATGTTTGTGAACCACTTTGCAGTCACTGGATGAAAGATGTTATGTATAGGAACAAAGTACTATTATTATTACTTCACATAGGTTGTTTGGGCAAGAGCAGCAGGAAAAAAGGCATTCTGTATATAGGTGTATGTGTTACAAATAGGAAGGTAGAGTCCCAGCTAATGCAATTTTAAAGTAATCCTGCAATTTTCCCAAAATGGGGAAAAACAAAACACAACTTGATTTTTAATGTTTTGCTGTAAGCAGAGGATGTGACACTTGGGAATCTCAACTCACCTGAGAAAATACAGCATAAAAGAAGTTACAAAACACAAGTTCCACTTAAGTATTTAGGGATTCTCATACAAAAGGTCACTTCATGATTCCTAACATGTTTGAAATTTTTCTAAAGGTTAGATAAAGTAGCAGATAAGATCCTTAAGAGAGTGTATAAGAGCTAATTTACTGCTAGCTAAACCATGTTGACAGATAGAGGTATTTTATTTTGTGGCTGATTAAAAGCAGACAAGCATTATGAAGCCCTTTCATTATACTAGAAACTTAGATTATTAAGACTGTATTTTAATGCACACTTTGGACAGCTGAGTCTTAAAAGAATAAAAAGTTGTAAAGCAAATGGCATTTCCTGGATAGCCCCAAGGGAACTTTGAACACTGGGTTCTGAGTCCCTGGTGGGAAGGAGCAATTTCAGCTAATTAGGGTGAATAGAAAAGTGTTGCATTTGGTCAAAACATTCTGTTAACCCTCATTTTTGTTGGCACCAAGAAGAGTCAGTCAGTCTTATTTTTTTTTTTTTTTTGTTGAATTCACTGCTGGAGTGCAAAGCACACAGCTCACATACATTAGGCAGAAAGTCAAAGGAAACGCCAAAGTTCAGCTAAAGTACAAGTAATTAGAAACAGATTCTCTGCCGCTTGTATGTGTGCATTTCATTGTAGACGTTATTTATAAGCCTCCAAACATTTGCAAAAATAACTATATTCCGTAGATCATTTAATTTTTATGTCTAGTCTAGAAAAGGAGTCTGCCTTTAATCATCTTCCAGTAAAAATCTAGGCAGTGGAAAAGTGGGTTTCATTTGTTTCCATGCAAATTTATTTCTTTCATATGCCATTCAAAACTATATCATCAAATTAAATCCAAAATATCACTGACTCCTGCCCCCTCAAAAATTTTTAATAATAAAAGTGCTTTGAATCTGTCATACTTAAACAAATAGTTTGCATTGTTATGAGGTTGTTGTTTTTTTTTTTTTAAGAAAAAAAAATGGTTTGGAAGACCAAAAAAAAAGGGTGAGAGAAAAAGAAAACATTATCATGGAGACTTGCCAGCCTTGACTTAGTAACCTGGCCATGACCCTAGAGTGAGTATGTGTTTGACCCGGTCACACGGGATTCTGGCTGAGTACTGTTGCTGGGCTATCAATCCCTGCTATTCTTACTATATATACACAACAGGTGCAGATCACAGACAATGGGATGAAAACAAAGGGAGATACCATAGGTAAAGACTTTGATTTTCTTTTCTTTTTTAAAACAAAGACGTTTTGTTAGAAAAAAAACCTCTTGCAAATCTGTTCTCCTCTCAGTCACTGAAGTTGTCTGCTTGACCATTAGAGTGAATGAGGATTTTAAATACACAGCAAATCATGCATATTCCATTTACACAGCACCGTAATTAACTCAAACCATGAAAAAAAATATGCTCAGTTTAAAAAGAAAAAAACATTTCCAGGTTATGATCCATCAGCTTAAATTTTTGTTAGTAAACTGGGGTACCAGTACTATCACCATCATCATTTCTTTTGAATATTTTATGCGTGAACACAATGCACTGGGATTGAAATAAAAGCTACCATGATTGGCCCATATGGAGACAATACATCTACATTTTTAGATGTCTACAAGTACTTTTATTTATTTATTTTTACTTTCCATATCCTCTTTTTCCCCTCCCCTTCTAATGAGCTCATGTCTTGTCAGCTGCACACATCTGTCTTTAATCTATAATGTTACATTACTTATTTCATTTTAACTCATGGTCATAATTTTTCGAGAATTGATTTTATTCATGACATAGTACAGCTCTACAAGACAGCTTAGGTCTTAAAAAAGGGGAGGGGGAATTCAGAATCAACTAATCACCGTATACTGTAACTACATGACCTGGGCTGAAGGCCAAAAAACAAAAAAAATTAGTCCTCAGGCTGATTTTTATTATGGGAAGTGGCCTTGCATTTTCATAAGGGACACCAGAAGATTAAATATCTACATTACATTTTTATAATGTGGTTTTCTACTTCAGAGAGCCAAAGCTATCCTTGTCTGTTTGTTGAAAAGCTAAACATGATTCTTTAGATCAGTGGTTCTCATCCAGGGCCCCCTGAGGGGCCCTGAGCAGGTTTCAGGGGGGTCCGCCAAAATAAACCAGAGAGCAGGTCCGGCATTAGATTCCCTGGGGCCCAGGGCAGAAAGCTGAAGCCCACGTCCAAACCCCACCACCACGGGTTAAAGCCGAAGCCTGAGCAACTTAGCTTCACGGGGCCACCTGT